ATAAAACACCATGAACAAGGGAACTTACAGAAAGAAGAGTTTGTGAGGTCAAGGCCAGCCTGGTCCACAGTGCCAGGCCAGCTGGAGCTACAGGTATACTCTGCCTCAAAAAGACCAAGAAAAGAAAAAAAGACAAGAAAGAGTGTTTATTTGAGCTTATGGTTCCAGGTTCCAGAGGGATTACAGTCTGGCATGGTGGGGAGGCATGGTAAGGTGGCCGGAGCAGGAGCAGAAAGCTCAGCACTCACATCTTCAAACAGGCACAAGAACCAGAACTCCACTGGAAAGTTGGCAAGGCTTAAGAACTCTCAGAGCCCACCCTGCAATGATGTGTTTCCTCCAGCATGGCCACACCCCCTGAAGCTTCCCAAAACAGCACCACCAACTGGGGACAAAATGTCCAAATACTTGGAGCCTATGGGGGGCATTTTCATTCAAACCACCACAAGTCCTTAGCTTTTATGGTTAAAAACCTTGGTGACTCTCATGTTTCTATTCCTGAGTAAACAGATAAGCCACCATGGCATGGGAACACAAGATGCAAATGGGAATTTAGTTAAGGAATTGTGTGTGTTTCCGTGTAGACAGTGGGTGTTTTGTCTGCATCAAATATGATTATTCTTCTGACTGCTTTGTCAGAACTGTCAGGCCTCTTTGCTTCCTTTCTTCGATATGCTGTGCCTTGGTTGTTATAGAATGGAAAGAAAATAATTGGTAGTCATGCTTCAATAACTTCCTTTGCCTTTTAATATGGAGACTAGTTGAATGAATGAAGGTTTCTGTCAGAATTCCTGCTTCTTTGCATTCCCTTCATCCTCTGTCCACTGATTCACTAAATTACTCCCCAGGGTCAGAAGTAATACAGTGCCAGACAGTGTGTAGATGCTCTACCCACCTTGGCATACTTCTTGAGTTTTAGCAAAAACTAAGAAGTAGCAAATTGAATAATTTTTCCTGGTGAGTATTGGCATATACCTGGTATACTGGCATATACCAGGTTTATTGTAGAATATTGACACTGAAAATAAACTTTTGTTGTTTTTTTTAAGACAAGTTCTTGCTATGTACCCCAGGTTGACTTCAAACTTAGTATGCAGACCAGTCTGGCCTCCAACTTATGAGTTTTTGACTCAGCCTAACTAAGTGCTATAGTTACAGGTGCCCATCACCATGTTCATGCCAGAAAAATAACCTTTTTTCCTCAGATATTAGTGATTCTTCCTTAAGGGATTAAAGGCATCCAAATCAGTGTGGAGATGCCATATTAAAGAAAAAAACTTAACTCAGAGTCCTTTGACCAAGAGTGGGCCCTATCTGTTCTGAGGTGTTCTGATTTCTCTCAGAGCTATGTGTCTTAATTTCTTCTTCTGTCTAACAAAGGGCATCATCTCCTATTTAATTTTTTTTTGTCTTTTTGAGACAGGGTCTCCCTGTAGTCCCAGCTGACCTGAACTCACTATGTAGACCAGGTTGGCCTTGAACTCACAGAGATCCTACTGCCTCTGCCTGACGAGTGCTGGGATTAAAGGCGTGCGCCACCACACCTGGCTTCATGTTTAATTTTTTTAAACTTTTTTTTTTTTTTGGTCTTTTGGAAACAGGTCTCTCTGTAGCCCTAGCTGGCCTGGAACTCACTATGTAGACCAGACTGGTCTTGAACTCACAGAGGTCTGCCTGCCTCTGCCTCCCAAGTGCTGGGACTCAGGAACACGCCTGGTTTTAAGTTTTATTTTCTATTTTCTTTAAACTTTATTTTTTGTTTTATGTGTATGAGTGTTATACCTGCATGCATGTAGGTGCACTTATGTCACGCAGTGCCCTCGGAGAACAGAAGAGGACATTGGATGCCCTGGAACTGGAGTAATGGATGGTTGTTAGCCCCTATGTGGGTGCTGGAATTCGAACCTGGGTCTCCTGCAAGAGCAGCCAGTGCTCTTAACTGCTGAGCCATCTCTCCAGTCCCCCTCACCTTCTCATATTTATTGAACAGTATATCAAGCATGGTATGGGGAAAGGCATGAGCACTCTTTCATAACAGTTTTACAGAGAAAGAAGTTGTCTTTCTGATTTTGCTGACTCAGAAAAGCCATCAAAAATCACAAACAGATATCAACCTACATTCACATATTGCTTTCAACATTCATGGGGTAGTTGTTGCTTTCAATGTCATTGTTGTTTTCTGTGTTATTGTTATTACATCTCATGTACCCATACATTGTTCTGAGTCAGGATCATAACTGAGTCACAAACTGAAAACAAGATTAAAGCTACACATTTAGCTTAGCTTGTAAGAATTAATTACATTGGGATTCCAAATCATTGTAGGATTGATTACACTGTTTTTCTTAAAGATCGGTTAATTCTAAACAAGCTGAGTATTCAGTATGTGAACATCCTAAATGTACACAGTCCTAAATGATCACAAAATATATGATGAATAAGGTTATTCCAAAATTCAATTTTTAGGGACTGGAGAGATGACTCAGCAGTTAAGAGCACTGACTGTTCTTGCAGAAGACCCAGGATCAAATCCCAGCACCCACATGGTGGCTAACAACCATCTGTAACTGAAGTTCCAGGGAATCCAATGACCTCTTCTGACCTTTGAGGGCATTGCATGACACTTACATGCAGGCAATGCACCCATACACTTAAAATAAAAATAATAAAATATAAGCCGGGCGTGGTGGTGCACACCTTTAATCCCAGCACTTGAGAGGCAGAGGCAGGTGGATCTTTGTGAGTTCGAGGCCAGCCTGGTCTACATAGTGAGTTCCAGGACAGCTGGGGCTATAAGGAGACCCTGTCTCAAAAAGACAAAAAAAAAAAAAAGTAATTATATTAGACTCAGGATTGAAAGGGCCAAGTCATCTCAGCATTAAATTATATATGCTATTTAAAACTTTTACTCTCATTCCTTTATTTTTATTAATTATTATTATTGTATGTGTGTGTGCATGATGTGTGTGTGTGTGTGTGAACCTTTAGGCTCACAAGTACCATGGTGTGTGTGTGTCAGTCAGAGGACACCTTCTGGGAATCAGTTCTCTCCTTCCACCCTGGAATCCGGGGATTGAACTCAGATCATGATGTTTGTGTGGCAAGAGCTTTTACTCACTGAGCTATCTAGGCAGCCTTCAGTCCTTTATTTTTAAGTCTAATTTAGTCTAATTTTTGAGATAGGGTCTCATTCTACCACCCATACTATTTGGAACTCGTAATATAGCCTAAGCTGGACTAGAATTCACAATACTCCTGTGTTAGCTTCTTGAGTACTGGGGAAATAGGCATGTGCCACCACACTGGTTCCAGAAAAGTAATCTGACACAAAATTGTCATCACAGCTGGGTATGGTGATGCATTCCTGTAATCCCAGGACAAGAAGATCAGGAGTTCAAGGTTATCCACAGCTACTTAGAAAGTTCAGGGTGGCCTGTGCTACATGAGAACCTTTCTTAAAAAAAAAAAAAAAAAAAAAAAAGATGAAACGAGGGGCTGGAGAGATGCCTCAGCAGTTAAGAGCATGTATCACTCTTGCAGAAGATCCAAATTCAATTCCCAGTACCAGCGTCAAGCAGCTTACAAGGGCCTATATAACTCCAGCACAAGAGGGATCCAATGCCTCTGCCTTCTGTGGGCAACAGTATACGCACAAACCCGTACTTAGAAACACATATGCATAATTAAAAACAACATTTTGGGTTTTTTTTTTTTTTAAGACAGGGTTTTTCACTGTGGAGACTAGGCTGATCTCAGTCTCACAGAGATTTGCCTGCCTCTGCCTCCTGAGTCCTGGAATTAAAGACGTGTGCCACCATACCTGGCTTTAATAAAATTTAAATCTCAGCCAGGCATGGTGGTGCACGCCTCTAATCCCAGCACTTGGGAGGCCGAAGCAGGCAGATCTCTGTGAGTTCGAGGCCAGCCTGGTCTACATAGTGAGTTCCAAGGGAGACTTTGTCTCAAAAAGACCAAAAAAAATTTTAAATCTTTAAGGAAAAAAAAACATGGATCTGGTGAGATGGTTCACTGAGTGGATGTCCTTGCCATTGGGCCTAAAGACCTGACTGAGTTTGAGCCCCGGGAACCACATTGTGGAAGGAGAGAACCAGCACCTGCAAGATGTCTTCTGATCTTTACACAATAAATAATAATAAACAATTGTTAAAAACATTAAAACAACAACAACAAAACAGGACTGGGGAGACAGCTCCGAGAGTAAAGGCACTTGCTGCTGAGCTTGACCACCTGAATTCAATCTCTAGGACTCAGATGGTGGAAGGAGAGAACCAACTTCCACAAGTTGTCCTCTGACCTCCATGTGTGTGCCATGGCACTCAAATGTGCTCCCCTTCCAAAACAAACAAACAAATGAATGAACAAATAAATAAATGTTTTTTAAAGATGTCATGTTTAGGAAAAGGAAATTTGTTTAGTAAACACTAGATATAGTAGTAAAGACATTTAAATTATGTCATTATTTTGGAAAATCAGAAATAATTAGTCATTTATACATTATGGTCATTTCATAAATAATATGAAAACATGTTTAGAGGTTGTGAGTATAACCCAGTTGTATAGTGTTTACTAAGCATGCATGAAACCCTGGGTTCAGTCCCTAGGGCAAAAAAACAATGTTTAGAATAGTTTTACTAGACACTATCCAAATTCTCACTATTCTTATAGTGATAGAAAGTGTATGGTAGGAAGAGTCAAAGCACACCTGAAGTTTAGAAACTATTCACCTTAGCAAGAAATTATATGATCTTGAACAAGTTGCTAATGACTATTTGACTATTATTTCTTCATCTACAACCTAGAGGTAATAACATATCTCCAACCTATCTCCAACCTAGCTAAGATAGATGATTACATATAATAAAATAATGGAGGAGTAAACACATTGAAAAATATAGCATGGTATACTTGTAATTATTATTATAAAAATAGCTTTAAGCAAAAACCAGATGTAGTCAGGGTTTTCTAAAGAAACAGATCTGGTGCTCACTTCAGCAGCACATATACTAAAATTGGAATGATACAGAGAAGATTAGCATGGATCCTGAGCAAGGATGAGATGCAAATTTGTGAAGCGTTCTGTATTTTTTCAGATGAGGATATGGGATTTGGTCTCTTTGACTAATGCCCCAGAAAGCAACCAGCTTGGCCTTCTTTATTTGAGAAATGTGGAAATAAAAGTCTTACTGCTCTTAAAAAAAGAAAGAAAAGAAAAGAAACAGATCTGATAGAATGAATATATATTCATTCTATCAGATCTATAGGGATTTATCAGATTAACTTACAGGATAGAGTCCCAGTAGTCCAACAATGGCTGCACTACACTGGAGAGGCTGAGAATCCGTAGTCACTCAGTCCATGAGGCTGGATGTCTCAGTAGTCCCAATCTAGCACTGAAGGTCTGATGAATTCCAAATGGTCGGCTAGTCTTCAGTCTACAATAGCAAGATGAACTTACCAGCAAGAGAGAATCACAGATCCAGTTAAGTTGACACCCAGGATTAGCCATCACACCAGGGTAGGAAAGAAGAGATATCATATCCAATGTATACTGAACCATTTATAGCAATACACATATATGTGCCTTGCACAAATATCTTTATTAAATATTTTTTCACCTTTACTTATTTATGGTTTGGTTGTTAGCCTTAAACAGCTGCACTATCCCTCCAGCACCACGTTTACTTATTTAGAAAGAAAAAGATTGTATGTGGTTGCATGCATGTGTGCCACAGCAAACCTGTAGAGACCAGAGGACAACTTTCAGGAGTCAGTTCTCTTCTTCCACCATCTAAGTCCCAGGGATCAAATTCAGGCTTGTCAGTAAGCACCCTTACCCACTGAGCCACCTGCTGACCCCACAGGTATCTTTTAAAAAAAAAATACTTTATTTTGTGTGTATGAATGCTTTGCCTGTATGTAAGTATACCAGGTGTGAACACTACCCATAGAGGCTACAAGAGGGTGGCAGATCCCCTAGAACTGGAGTTACAGTTGTTAGCTTCCATGTAGGTGTTGAGAACTGAACCTAGGTCCCGTGGAAGACCAGCCAGCTCTCTTAACCACTGAGCCATTTCTCCAGCCCCAATCCACAGATATCTATAACAACAATAATACATACATAAGCCTAACACAAGATGGAAGCAATAGAATCAAGGAATTTTAATTACAGTATTCAAAAGACTATTTCCTATGACTTGGTCATACTCAGACAGTGGAAAGCAGCTGACATCCATACTCACACCAGTTTCACTAAACGGACCATCTTCCAAATTCTGGATTTTTCTAGATTTTCCAGAATAGAATCTAGACAGGACTAAGGGATGGCAATGAAGAGTGAGAGTGAGGGTTTCTTGTGGCCCAAGGGCAGAGCCACTATAGACTCTTCCTGGATGTTCTGATCAGTCACAAAAGTGTGTGATGCCAGGGGTCCAGTTGGTATAAGGATGAGAAGTGGCAGCCTGTCCTGGGATTTTCTGCAATTTCAAGAGAACCCCACTGGTACATTTGAGTGCCAACCAGCCATAATTGATGCCCTAAATCTCCCAAATCGTCAGCCACTACAGACTGAGGCACTGATTCTGCCAGCACTCTTAAGTTTGTGGCTTTGTCCTGAGATTTCTGTTACTTTCATCAAGTTTAAAAGTGAAGGGTATTTTCATTTGTTTGGTTTTTGTTTTTTCCTATCTTAAGTATTTTATACTTATTTGCTGATACTTATATATTTTGATCTCAGGTAGTGTGGCTCTTTTCTCATTTCATTTCTTTTCTTTTTTTTTTTTTTTTTTTTTTTTATTTTTTTTTTTTTTTTTTTTGGTCTTTTTGAGACAGGTGTAGCCCCAGCTGGTCTGGCACTCACTGTGTAGACCGGGCTGGCCTTAAACTCACAGAGATCCACATGCCTCTGCCTCCCAAGTGCTGGGATTAAAGGCATGTGCCACCACGCCCGGGTTCTTTTTTTCTTTTTTGAGACAGGGTCTCACTATGTAGCCCTTGCTAGCCTGTAACTTGCTATGTAGACCAGGCTGGCCTCCAACTCACAGAGATCCTCCAGTCTCTCCCAAGTGCTAGGATTTAAAAGCATGTGCTATCATGTCTGCCCAGATTTTTATTTCTATAAACACACCAAAAGAAGTAAGGGAGTAAAGATGTGCCTCAGATAGATCAGAAAACAGGAAGTGAAGCCACTGTGGCCATTTTGAGAAATGTGTTTTCATGCACACTGGGACCTCCCAAAGCCTTGAGCTAATCCTAAAAGAAAAAGTTTAGTTACCCTTATCTGTGACACAATCTCTTGTCTTGATCTTTCACCAGAGGCCTGGGGAGGAGAATGCCCCATTCCTCATCTTTAGCTAACATCCCTTTCCCAGTGCTAATTTCCTTCCTTCTCCATGGTCCATAACCTCAATCAATCTTTTGAGAACATACTAACACAAAGACTCTGATGTTCTTCCCTCTGGCTTACCTAGAATATCCTTATCTAGTTGAGTCCAACTTCCTTCTCTGGCCCTGCATCTGGCCTGCAAAGTATTGCTGAAGAAAACAACACAGCTCTGGAATTCATTGCCTACCAGTCTCTGAAGCAGATCCCCAGTGCTGCCCTCCAGTCTTACTGTGTTTCCTTACTGGGCTCTCTCACAGTCTTACAATAGCCACATCAGACATTTTCTACTTCACGTCCTCAAATTTAACTACTTCCATATGCAGATAAGAGACTTATGATGATTCAACTTTAGATTTTTCATGTATTAAGGCATAAAAACAATAATCAGCATTCAGTAAAAATCATACTTCAAACTGAATTTCAGCCTTTTGGGGCTAAACTTGGGATACGCAGTGGCTGTTGCTATTTCCAGTCAACCATGAAATCCTGAGGAGATATGACAGAGACTCTGCAGGGGGCTGTGTTGCTGGAGTTTTTTGGTATCTACAACAAATAGATATTCAACACTTTATTATAAAATGTAGTAGATGATTTTGCCCAATTTTTGATTAATATAAGTATTCTAAACATGCTCAAGGTAGGCTAAGCTAAGCAATGATGTCTGGTAGATTAGGTGTATTAGATGCATTTAGACATAGTGTATTAGTCAGGGTTCTCTAAAGAAACAAAACCGGTACAGTAGATTATATATATATATATAGGGATTTATCAGATTAGCTCACAGGATAGAGTCCCAGTAGTCCAACAATGGCTGCACCACACTGGAGAGGCTGAGAATCTGGTAGTCGCTCAGTCCACAAGGCTGGATGTCTCAGAAGTCCCAATCTAGCACTGAAGGTCTGATGAATTCCAAACAATTGGCTAGTCTTCAGTCTATAGCAGCAAGACAAACTCACCAGCAAGAGAGAAGGCAAGCAGCAAAAAGCAAGCACTCTCCTTTGCCATGGCCTTTTATACGGGCTGCCATCTGAAGGTAACATCAAGATCTCTCTCACTTCAGTTAATCCCAAATCCAGTCAAATTGACACCCAGGATTAGCCATCACACATAGTATTTTCAACTAATGGTAAGTTGATTGGGTGAAACCCTGTCATGAATTAAGGAGTATCTGTCCATAACTCTGCTTCCCCAACTGGTGTCTTTCCTCCCACCTAACCGTTTTCTGTGCTCTGGAGCCTGTTCTACCTCTCTTTGCTTTCTTAATTCTTATATTTTTCATCCTCCTTCCAATACATGCAGTTACTTCTTCCCCAGATGGATCCTTCCATTAGCACTTTACACTACTCAAATTTCTCCCATCATAAAAACTAAAACCAGAATAAAAAGTACCGAAATACTTTGTCCTTTCAGTCTTCTCAGCTGTTGCTCTGTTCTTCCTGTCATCTAACCATCTTGAAAAAGTTGTATCTCTCTGGCTCAGCAGTTAAGAGCACTGACTGAGCTTACAGAGGATCCGGGTTCAATTCTGAGCATCCACATGGTAGCTAACAGTTGCCTGTAACTCCAGTTCCAGGGGAACTGGAAGTCTTCTTCTGACCTCTGCAGGCATTGCACGACACAACACAGGTGCACTTACACACATGTGGTCAATACACTCATACACATAAAATAAAAATAAATTTTTTAAAAGTTCTCTCTCTGCTTGTGTGTGTGTGTACACGTGCACACTGGAGATCAAACCCAGGACCTTACATGTTCTGGAGCTACGGTCCCAGCCTGGAAGCATTGTGTACACTCACTCTACACTTCTTACTTCCTGCTAGATCTTTAGTTCACTGCAATTTATTTGATGGCCACCATCCCTCTAAGATTACTTTTTGCTAAGGCCAACATGACAACTTACTTTTACAAACCCAATACTTTTTTAAAATTGAAAGCTCACAAACCATAAAATCATATTTTAAATTATGCAATTCAGTATTCTTTTTATTTTATTTATTATTTTTATTTTATGTGTGTGAGTGTATTGCCTGCATGTATATAGGTGCACTGGTGTCATGCAATGCCCACGGAGGTCAGAAGAGGGCATCAGGTCATTGGATCCCCTTGGAATTGGAGTTACAGATGGTTGTTAGCTGCCATGAGGGTGCTGGGAATGGAACCTGGGTCCTCTGCAAGAACAACCAGTGCTCTTAACCGATGAGCCATCTCTCCAGCCCCACAATTCAGTATTCTTAAAATATTTAATTACATTTCATTTATTTGTGTTCATGTGTGTGCGTGTGTGCGTGTGTGTGTGTGTGTGTGTGTGTGTGTGTGTGTTGTGCATGAGTACCATGGAATACCGTGTAGGTCAGAGGATAACTTGTGGGAGTTGGTTCTCTCTTTGTGGGTCCTAGGGGTAAACTCAGGTTGTCAGGCTTGAGCAAGCACCTTCACCCAGTGAGCTCTCTTGCCAGCTCATTCAGTATGCTTTAGTATATTTATAAATTATACAAATAGCACCACTATCTAAATGCAGAACATTCTTGTCACCCCTGGAGTCACTAGCAGTCCCACTCAATCCCCTTTCTCTGGCTCCTGGAAGTCACTAAGCCCATAAGGGCTTTACTAGTGTGGACATTCAACATGAACAGAGTTGTATAACATGTAACTGTTGGCTACTTTCATTTAGGACATATTTTTAAGATTCATCCATGCCATAG